CTTACATGATATTCTAGTTGGCAGCCTGGTAATCAGCGTACTGTGGCCTGTGGGTCATTTGCAGCCAGTTGTCTATCTTGGAAAATAAAGGTTTTCAGCCATACCCACTGCTTTCCTGCTGCAACCTCAGAAAACTGAGTAATTTTAACAAAGACTGTCTGGCTCATAAAGCCTGAAATATTTACTATCTGGCCCCTTGCAGAAAAATTTTGCCAACTTTTGGCAACTCCCATCCCATTCAGCTATACTTTGGACTCACATGAGGAACTTAAATTTTGGTTCAGGCTACATCACACACTCAATTGTAACTGGTTTGGGGTGTGGCGTGGCCCATAGGATTTTATGAAAGCCCCTCCTTCCAGGTACTCCCAATGAGTAGCCAAGGATGAGACCAACATATTAAATAATTTTCAGGGAAAATGGACAATGGAGGAAATTAAGTTATTTCTAATTATACCACAAGGTCTCATAGATCAAGCCACAGATTTAATTCTCAGCTTCTGGGTAGCCAAAGCAAAAAAGGAAAATAGCTTCAAAGTCTAAAGCAGCAGTTCTCAGCCTGTGGGTTGCGACCCACAGGAACTGTATTAAAGGGCCGCAACAGTAGCAAGGTTGAGAACCACTGGTCTAAAGGGTAAAAATCAGGCTGGGCCCAGTGGTTCATGCCTATAATCCTAGCACTCTGGGAGGCCAAGGCAGGTGGATTGCTTTAGCTCCTAGGAGTTAGAGATCAGCCTGAGCAAGAGTGAGACCCCATCTCTACTAAAAATAGAAAAAGAAACTAGCCAAGTGTAGCGGTGTACGCCTGTAGTTCCAGCTACTTGGGAGGCTACGGCAAGAGGATTGCTCAAGCCCAAGAGTTTAAGGTTGCTGTAAGCTATGATACCACAGCACTCTACCCAGGGCTACAGAGTAGAACTCTGTTTAAAAAGAAAAAAGAAGACTCTGCGCCTGTAGCTCAAGCAGCTAAGGTGCCATCCATATACACCCGAGCTGGTAGGTTTGAATCCAGCCTGGGCCTGCCAAAACAACAATGACAGCTGCAATCAAAAAATAGCCTGGTGCTGTGGCAGGCACCTGTAGTTCCAGCTACTTGGGAGGCAGAGGCAGGAGAATCGTTTGAGCCCAGGAGTTGGAGTTTACTGTGAGCTGTGATGCCACTGCACCCTACCCAGGGCGATAGCTTGAGGCTCTGTCTCAAAATAATAATAATAATAAAAGTTTAAAAAGAAAATGGTAAAAATCACTTGGTTATTCTAGAAAATAAAATAGGCTTACTGCCTCTTACTTTGGGTGGCATCTGTGACTTATCAGAGCCTATCACCTGCCTCCCTCTGACAATCCTCCTATCCCACTCAGCACAAAAGCTAGCTGCAGACCCCAATCAACTGACCACCCAGCCTGGCCTGAGGGGGTGGGCCATTACGAGGCCACATTAAACTTTTGAGGGCTGTCTCCACACCTGGCAGACACAGAAACGTGAGCTGGAAAGGTGCTGGACTTACTGATGGATGGCTTGGAGGAACTTACGCTGGTGTTTCCGAACCCGGGCTTGGTCTGGCTTTTTCACCAGCCTGGTGTGTTTATAGATGAGCCACGTCTCCCTGAGAACGTTAGCAGCGGCATTTTTTACCTGGGATCAGAAAAAGAACAATTCCTCAGGGTAGGCGCAAAAATCACAGAAGGCTCCAGAAACCTCTGGAAATCCCAGAAGCCTCTCTAGGGTCCCTGGACTGTAAGATAGAGGGGCATGCTTACATGTCTGCAGTGTATGTGTGGGTGCCTGACACATTTAGATCATTCACTGCACCCCAGGCCCCTTCTACGCACTTTGCAAATGTTAATTCAGTGAATTTGTATGTGCCAATATTTCTCTCATTCTAATCATGGGGAAACTGAGGCACAGAACAGTCAACCTGTCAAGATCAGAAAGCTCTGGCAGCCTGGCCCCATGCCTATTACTGTGTACACAGATGGACACCTGTGGTCATTGCCACATCTCTTTGTACATGGTTTACAAATGGGCACGTGGGTGGCAAAGCCCAGGACGATCTTGAACATGGGGTAGTATGATGAGCAGTGGTATATGAGCACACCTGACCTGTGCAGAGGAATGGCAAGGAGGGGCTGCTCTTGCTGATGAGTAAATGGCCACAGTGGGAAACGGGGCTCTTACCCGCTTGGTGAGCTGAGTGTCCATCATAAAGTTGTGCACGTGCTTCTCAGCCTTGGTGAGCTCCAGCTTCCGAGCCACCACAGCCACTACGAGCGCTGTACAGCCAGCTCCCTATGTGCAGGGTGGAGGGGGCACATCGTCATCCTGCCTTGAGGTCGTTCCCTCCTCCAGGAAGCCTGCCCTGATTCCACCCTCCCTCTTACCTTCAGAGCCCACTGTTTCAGTGAAGCCCATCGACCAAGCTCACTGACTCCCAACCCTGTTTGCTTCATGTCCATTAAACATCTAGGGAGTGAGTGTACCTTACAGCTTAGCTCATTGGAGCCCCAACAACTTTAGGAGGTAGGAACATTCTTACTCCCTTTAGGCAGAGGGGTAAATTTGGTGAGCTGAGTGTATGAGTGAGGCTCAGAGATGGAAGAAGTGACAAGAAATGTGCAGACATGCTTGAGGACAATGACCATGGGGGTGGGACAATTCGGAAACATTCCTATTGAGGCTTTAGGATCTTGGTGACTTTAGACAAGTCACCTCAGGAATGGGAGGCCTCAGGTGCCACTGAGAAAATATAGAGGTGTCAGTGAGCCTCAGACACCTGGAAGGTACCATTAGCCCTAAGAGAGTCCAAGGAGGCAGGTGCTCCCTGAGGAAATGGTGTCTCAGGTTCTAGACCCAGATAAGGGTCTGAGAGGACCTAGAAGTCTGTTCCCTAGAAAAGACTCATCAACCAAGGCAACTCAGCTTGCTGGGAACCTCCACCTGGAATATTATGCAGCAAGGAAAAAGAACAGCCACTAGCTCTGCACAATGGATGTACCACACAGACACTGCACTGTGTGAAACAGGCCAGAGTCATGGCACAAAGCCAGGCACAGACCCCAGTGTGAGTGCTCCTCTGTGGGACTGCAGGCTACACAGAGAAGAACTACCATTCTGGAAGGAGTCACCACTTAACAACCCCGTCCTAGAGAAGGCAACACAGCTTTTCCATTTCACCCTACCCTCTCCGGGTCTGGAGTTCAATTTTTTTTTTTTTTGAGACAGAGTCTCACTATGTCATTCTGCATAGAGTGCCGTAGCATCACAGCTTATAGCAACCTCAAACTCTTGGGCTTATGTGATTCTCTTGCCTAAGCCTCTTGAGTAGTTGGGACTATAGGTGCCCGCCACAATGCCTGGCTATTTTTTTTTTTTTTTGGTTGTTGTTGTCATAGTTGTTTAGCAGGGCCGGGCCAGGCTCAAACCCACCAGCCTCGGTGTATGTGGCCGGCATCCTACTCACTGAGCTACGGCACCAAGCCTGGAGTTCATCTCTTAGCTGAGTGGTGAGATGTGTTCATTTGTAATGGCTGCCCCAGTCACATGGTGGGAGGTGTGTTGGGGTTGATCTTTAGGTTTTGTATCTTTGACTCTCAGATGGAATAAAGCAAAACAATATAAGTGAAAATGTTGTGATGCCCTTTAATTAAAAAAGGGCTGTGTCAGCTTGTCTAAGAGAAGGGAGTACCTAGCAGGGCTAGAGGAGGACATTCACTCTCAGCTTGTGTCAAGCAAGAGGGGATGAGAGGATAAGATGGCCAAGCTGTGGAGAAGAAGGGAATTAGGGACCTGCCTGCTTGGGACAACTGCCCGTTCCAATAGAGTGACCTCAGGAGATGATGACAGTCAGAGACAGTATACAGCTATGAAGAGGACTGAACTAAGCCACTGAAGGACAACCTCTCTCCTAGTAGGAAAAACTCACAGGACACCGAGAAAACTATGGCAGGGGCCAGGAACGATGGTTCACGCCTATAATCCCAGCACTTTGAGGGGCCAAGGCAGGAGGATCACTTGAGGCCAGCCTGAGCAACATAGCAAGACCCTGTCTTATAGCTACTCAGAAAGCTAAGGTGGGAGGATGGCTTGAACTGAGGAGTCTAAGGATGCAGTGAACTAGGATTGCGTTCCAGCCTTGGCAACAGGGCAAGACCCTGTCTCAAAAAGAGAAAGAAAGTAAAAAGAAAAAAAAAAGAAGGAAGAGTGGCAGGGATGGTGTTGTTTATATTTTGCAAGAACTAATGAGTCTCTCTGTGCTTAGGAAAGGAAGGACACACTCCAGGGCAATGGCCGGCGTCCTCTGTGGGAATGTGACCAGGCTGGCTTCTTTTGGCCTGTTGGTGTTTTGCCCATTTTCCATGAATGAACGTGTTACTGACTGGAGTGCAGGTGAAGTGCAAATTAAAGGGATATGGAGAAGAGTTATTTCGGTTTGGCTTGGCACCTGTAGCTCAGTGGTCAGGGCGCTGGCCACATACACCAGGGCTGGCAGGTTTGAACCCAGCCCAGGCCTACTAAACAACAATGACAACAATAATAACAACAGGCTCGGCGCCTGTGGCTCAAGTGGCTAAGGCGCCAGCCACATACACCTAAGGTGGCGGGTTCGAATCCCCAGCCTGGGCCCGCCAAACAACAATGAATTGGCTGCAACTAAAAAATGGCCAGGCGTTGTGGCGGGCGCTTGTAGGCCCAGCTACTTGGGAGGCGGAGGCAGGAGACTCGCTTGAGCCCAGGAGTTGGAGGTTGCTGTGAGTGTGATGCCATGGCACTCTACCCAGGGGGATAATAGCTTGAGGCTCCGTATCAAAAAAAAAAAAAAACCCAATAATAACAACAAGAAAAATAGCCAGACATTATGGTGGGTGCCTGTAGTCTCAGTTACTTGGGAGGCTGAGGCAAGAGAATCGCTTAAGCCCAAGAGTTTGAGGTTGCTGTGAGCTGTGATGCTATGGCACCCTACTGAGGACGACATAGTTGAAACTCTGTCTCCAAAAAAAAAAAACCACAGGGACTTATTTCTGTTTGTTTTGTTTAGCAGGCCCAGGTTGGGTTCGAACACACCACCCCTGGTGTACCCATGGGCACCCAGCCAAGAGAGGAGTTCTTGATCTGTGCACCAGACAGCTCATATTCCAAAACATTGAAAAAGCATCTGTGGGCATGGAAGACCCTTGGAGATAAAGAAGTTTCTGGCCAGAGCAGACACCAGACATCAAAGGAAACCTACAGCCACCAAAAGCAGACTTGAGAAGTCTTGAGGGGAGATAGGATGCTGTCTGGGCCCAGTGAGACACACAAGACAAACTTTACACTGTGGAGACTCAGGGAGCACCCAAAATTCAGCCACAAATGGAGAATTGGGCTGCTGAAGGCACAGCCCTGAGGGTATTGACAGGATGTCCACAGCATTTATGGCTCAGGGCATTTTATGTAAATGAACTTAGTCCTTGCAAGAAGCAGAGAAAGGGACACTATGCTGGTTACAGCTGGGGAAACTGAGGCATGGAAGCATCACATCCTTGTCCTGGATCTAAGGGCTATGAAGAGATAGCTGTGGAGAAAAAAGGAGAGACGATGACACTCTGCTCAGAGTGGAACATAGCTTCCGCCTGGCCAGGCGCAGTGGGAGCTGCCCATTAGGGCTAGAAGAACCCACAGGAATCCAAGGAGCCTGAGGGTGCAGCTCCCTTGGGAATCAGAGCAGGGAGGAGCAGAGCTGAGGAGGGGTGGGTTGACACAAGGAGGAATGCTGTGGACCATGTGCAGCTCTCAATGAAGGTGATGGCCCCATCAGTGGAGGGTATGTAAGGGCTGGTGGAGCAGGAGGCTAAGCTGGGCCTCCCAGAGCTGTGCACACACGCCCTTGCTCTTACCATGATGCCGGTGAGGAGGCACACGCCCTTCCCGCAGTAGGTGTGGGGCACCATGTCACCATAGCCGATGGAGAGGAAGGTGATAGAGATGAGCCACATGGCCCCCAGGAAGTTGCTGGTCACTTCCTGCTTGTCGTGGTACCTGAGGGGAACCGGGGTGGGGGTGGTGAGGGCTTAGTCAGTCCACATTTGTCCCTCTGCCCTCATCACAACCCCTGGGACAGGTCTGGGACTGCAGAGCCCCACGGCTACCAGCTGCAGGGGATCTTAACCACACACAGCAAGTCAGTCTGAGGCTGGGGCAGTGTGGCTCAAAGTGATAACAGCACTGACATGGGGCACGCACATCCTTTTCTCCTACATCCCTTCCGACCTTGAAGAAGCACATAATCCCCCTCATAAAGACAGACACACAGACAAATAAGGAGACAGGTGGCCACAGCACCAGAAGCAGCAAGGAGAGGAGGCAAGTTAGACATGAGGAAGAACTTCCCCAGCCAGCACTAAAGACTATTTGAGGAGAAGGAAGCTGGAGGATTGCACAACAGGATATCAAGGGTAACACAGGTCCCCCAACTCCAGGCCTGCAGTTCATTGAGGGGCTGGGATGGAGGGCAGCAGCTGCTTTGACACTGGAGAGAGGCCTAGGGCTGTATTTTGGTATCTAGGGGGACAGTCCTTAAGGCCTCAGAAATAACACACTTTGTCCACAGTGGCTACAAAGAGGTTCTACCTATGGCCAAGCCAGGCTAGAGGCTGAGAGGTTGGTTCTCTGGGCCTGGGGACAGCTCCAGTTCAGTCCCCAGTCCCTAAACCCCCTTGGGGCTCAGGCTGCCTGTGACGTGGCTTCTAACTCAGGAAAGTAAGAGAGCCCCATTCCAGCCAGCCCACCCCTTCCCAGGACTCAGGTTGTCTGACCCCAGGCCAGCACACAAAGAGCACTCCTGGGCAGGGGTTCAATGTCAGAAGCCAACTGGGGTGGCACAGAGAAAGTGGACTCTCACCCTAAGAAAAACAAGGGGAGCTTTGGGGGAGGGCCATGCCATACAGAACAGGTGACAGAACCCACAGGGGCAGGACTGGAAGGGAGCTGATGGGGGCCCCCTGAAATTGATTATTTGGGGGTCCTTGCCTTTATGGGGGTCAGATGTCATGCCAGGTCCCTCCAGTCTGGGCTTCTCAGCTACTTGCTGTTGGGGGGCAGGCACTGGACCCCATCATACACTGAGGACTCTGAGCCCCAAGCTGCCCCACCTCAGGAGGCAGGGGTTCCCCTAGCAGGTAGATGGGTGAGCCCCAGGCCAGGAGCAGGGGTGAGGAGGCATGCAGAGGGGCGTGGAGCGAGGCAGGCGGGGGCTTCAAGCGCTGTCAGGTCTCAGAATTTAGGATTGGCTGCCCGCCGGCCCTGCCCCATTCCCCATCCCCAGCTGGGACACAGCACTGGCAGTGACCCAGCCTGGACCTTGGGGACTCCTGACCCAATCCTAATAGGTGATAAGGGGCTGGGGAACTTACACAGGGGTCCATCAGAGGTTTAAGGAGACCCTGTGTGCCCCCTAAACAGTAAGCTTTAAATTCTCGCTCCTGTGAGCCAAGCTGGACACCAGGCCCAGGTGGGCATCATTGGGGATGGGGACAGAACAGGCGAAGGGGTGAGAAGGGGGTGCTGAGAGTGGAGGTGCAACCAGGGATCCCCCAGGACCCCTCCAGGGCCTCCTCCAGCTAGGCACGAGCCTAGGAGACCCTCCCCTAGTCAAAGCACCTCCCACACCTTACCAGGCCCCTCCTACCTCTGGGAACAACCAGAAACTGGGCCCCCAGGCAAGTTCCCTTTGCCATCAGAGCCTCAGTTTCCTCATTTGTAAGTTGGGTTGAGTTTTTAAAGTCTGAACCAATTTTCTTTCACCCCAGGCCCACTGAACTCTCAGGAGGTTATGCCTGAGCCACCCAGGAGTGTAAGCTGTGCACACAAAACATCAGAGCTAAGCCTTTACTTCATTGATCCCCTGACCTTTGGAGACAAAGCCTCTAGGTCTCAAGAGAAGATGCTCAGTGAGTAAAGACCTGACAGCAGTCTGCCTCCCTCAGTCTGAGGACTAACCTTGACATCACTAGGCCTGTCCTCACTGGGACTGGGTCTGAGCCCATCCTGTCCACCCTGGGCTGACCTCCCTGTATCCCTCCCCTCAAGGCAGCTAATCTTAAATTCTTGGCACGTGGGATGGAGGTGGTGGCAGCTCTGCAAACACAGCTGGGCCAAGGATGGGACTCACATGTTTTCCCTAAAGTCCAGCAGGGTGGGCAGAGGGGAGAAGGAAAGCTGATTAAACAGGGGCATCGGGGGAGAAAAGGGGGTTGTCCCTGTTCCCACTGCCGCTGCTACCAGGGCCGGACATTGGACATCAGCATCCCAGAGAGTAGAGGGGCCCAGAAGAGGAGAAGGAAGAGAACGAGGAGCATGAGATCCCTGGTAATGGCTGGGGAGAGAGATCGGGGTCCCTCCCCAGCTGGGAGTAGTGAGGGCACAGGGCTGGGGACCCCAGGGATGATGGCCACCAATTTGAGACAGAAAAAATAACAGGGGTCATCTTGGAGTCAGGGAGATGGAAGCAATGGCTAGGGAGGCCCGGAGCTACTGAAGTCCCCATGGACAGGGATGGGAGGTAGGGAGATGTAGGTCCCTGTTCTGGGATTCCCTGGGGACACACCTTTCACAGACACGCACGGTCCAGGCAGCGATGATCCAGGAAGAGATGCTGAAGACAAGCAGCACCGTGCCGGGGCAGATGGTCATGAGCGTCTTCATGACGAAGCGCGTGTTGAAGGTGATCTTGTTGAGGGCCCCGATACTGCGGCTGGAGGCATCCGTGAAGATCTTGCTGTGCAGGAGCATGACACGGCCCAGCAGATAGAGGCGCAGAAACATAGGGATGGACAGCAGCACGTCCACATCAGCCTCGGCCACTGACGGTGCATACGTGAAGGCCAGCCGCGCAGTCCACGTGAAGCGGTAGTGGCCAGGCACAGGGTGGATGGCGCACACAGCCAACTCCAGTGAGATGAGGAAGACACGCTCGCATGTCATGGCGATGCGCCAGTCATCTGCCCCGTTATCCACCATGAACAGCTGTGGAGGGCAGGAGAGCTGGTGGTGGGTCTCTCAGACACACGTCCAGGCTCCCCACTCACTGAGAGTGACCACAGCCTGAAATCCTGCCAACTCAGATTTTGCTAAGAGAAGTCAGAAACAGGACTTCATAGGCAAAACTCCCTAGTTCTTGGCATTGGTCACAATTTAAACTAAACATCAGATGGGTATTCTCCAAAAAGTTAAACCATAGAGTTACAAATGACCTCACAATCCCATTCCTAGGTATAAACCCAAGAGGAAAGAGGCAAGATATTCCAGAAAATCCTTGTATAGACACATTTACAGCAACACTACTCACAGCCAAAGTGGAAACAACCCAAAATGTCTATCAACAGATGAATGGATGTTAAGATACAAGCCCAGGGAGGGTATCTCATGCCTACAATTGTAGCACTCTGGGAGGCTGAGATGGGAGGATCACTTGAGCTCAGAAGTCTGAGACCAGCCTGAGCAAGAGTAAGACCCTGTCTCTAAAAAATAGCCAGGTATTGTGGTGGGCGCCTGTAGTCCCAGCTACTCGGGAGGCTGAGGCAAGGGGATGACTTGAGCCCGAGAGTTTGAGGTTGCTATGAGCTATGATGATACCATGACTCTCTACCCAGGGTGATAGAGTAAGACTCTGTCTCAAAAATTTTGTTTTTGTTTTTGTTTTTTTTGGAGACAGAGTCTCACTACGTCACCTTCAGTAGAGTGCCATCGTGTCATCATAGCTCACAGCAACCTCAAACTCCCAGGCTTAAGCGATTCTCTTGCCTTAACCTCCTGAGTAGCTGGGACTACAAGCGCCTACCACAACGCCTGACTATCTGTCTCAAAAAAAAAAAAAAAATTTTTTTTTAAAATGGGATGTAGTACAGTAAGTGGGACTTTAAGCAAAAGCATATGGAATGAAACTAATTTTCCCACAGGCTCTTGGATGTAAACAAGAGTTAAGTTCCTACAGTATATTTCTGGTCACACACACAAAAAAATCAACAAACTTCTAAATAAAGACCCAATACACTTTTAATATTTAACACTGAAATGAATGTAAGCCATACATATATTTATGTAAGAGAAATAAAAATAAGATATGATTTGGGGTGGCGCCTGTGGCTCAAGGAGTAGGGCACTGGCCCCATATACAAGAGTGTTCAAACCAGCCTCGGCCAAAAACTGCAAAAAAAAAAAAAAAAGATATAATTTGTCCAATAATTCTAGTTCAGGGTTTTGGATGGCTGGAGCCTATTCTGGCTGCTCAGGGTATCAGGCAGACACCAGCCCTGGACATTACACCATCACACACACACACACACACACACACATACACACATACTTTTATGGGGACCATTAAGAGATGCCAATTAGCCTAACGTGCACGGCTCTGGAATACGGGAGGGAGTCCAAGTACCTGGAAAAAACCCACACAGACATGGGGAGAACGTGCAAACTCCACATAGACGATGGCCCCAGCTGGGAATCAATTTTTATTTTCTCATCAACATTATGATGAAACCATGCTGGATGAAATCATGTTATTCACAGACTTGTTCGTCTATCCATACAGAAGGATATTATCCTACCATAAAGAGGAACAAAACCTGACCTGTGAGTGCTACAATGTGGAGACACCTCCAAAACAAGCTGAGTGGCAGAACCAGACACAAAAGGTGGCCATCTAGGACAAAGGGGACAACATTGTCACCCCACCCCAGTGGGCCTGAGGGAAGGTAGAACACAGAACCAAAGATAATTATTCAAGAGCTTTAAGATCTAACAGAATTTGCCTTGCTGGTTCTGGTCTTGCTTGGGATCTCTCACCTATTTCTTTTTGCCAGTCTCTCCCTTTTGGAATGAGAATGTTTATCTATCTCTGTCCCATCACTGTATTTTGGAAGCACACAACTAATTTGTCTGGCTTCACAGGTTTACCACTGAAGGGGAATTTTATTTTGCAAAGAATCATATCTTGCGGCTCGGCGCCTGTGGCTCAAGTGGCTAAGGCGCCAGCCACATACACCTAAGGTGGCCGGTTCGAATCCCCAGCCCGGGCCCGCCAAACAACAATGATGGCTGCAACCAAAAAATGGCCGGGCGTTGTGGCGGGCGCCTGTAGTCCCAGCTACTTGGGAGGCTGAGGCAGAAGACTAGCTTGAGCCCAGGAGTTGGAGGTTGCTGTGAGCTGTGATACCATGGCACTTTACCCAGGGGGATAGCTTGAGGCTCTGTCTCAAAAAAAAAAAAAAAAAAAAAGAATCATATCTTGCAAAGAATTTTATCTTGCAAAGAATCATCCTTAAGGCTCACCCATAGCTGAATTAGGTGATAGTTAAATAAGACTTTGGACTTAAGACTTGATGATAGAATAGGTTAAGATGTGGGGGGCTAGGCTGGGCATAGAAACTCAAAGGTGGGCGGATTGTTTGAGTTCACAGGCTGGAGACCAGCCTGAGCAACAGTGAGACCCCCATCTCTAAAAATAGTTGGGCGTTGCAGCAGGTGCCTGTAGTCCCAGCTACTCGGGAGACTGAGGCAAAAGAATCGCTTGAGCCCAAGAGTTTGAGGTTGCTGTGAGCTGTGATAACACAGTACTCTACTGAGGGTGACAAAGTGAGACTCTGCCTTAAGAAAAAAAAAGATTTGGGGGGCTAATAGGAATAAATGTATTTTGCATGTGACAAATACATGAATTTTGGGGGAAGCAGTAGGTGAAGTGTTATGAATTAAACTGTGTCCTCCTCTACATTCATATATTGAAGCCCTGACCCCAGTGTAACTGTATTTGGAGATAGGATCAAATGGTTAAGGTTAAATGAGGTTTAGAGTAGGGCCTAGTCCAGTAGGACTGGTGTGTTCTTAAGAGAGAGAGATGCCTTTCATGCCTGAGCACAGAGAAAACGCCACGTGAGGCCATCTGTGAGCCAATGAGAGAGGCCTCAGGAAAACCAGCCCTGCTGGCACCTTGACCTTGGACTTTTAGCTTCTAGAACAATCAGAAAATACACTTCTGTTGTTTAAGCCACCTAGTCTATGGCATTTTGTTTTTGGCAAAACTAATACAATTTTTTTTGTTTATCATTATTATCATATGATTCTACTGCTTTGAAATGTCCAGAACAAGCAAATTCATAAAGACAGGAAGCAGACTGGGAGTTGCAGGGGCTGGGGAGGGGGAGTAACTGCTAATGGGGATGGAGTTTCCTTGTGGTGAGATGAAAATGTTCTGGGACTAGATAGAGATGGTGATTGTACAACATTGTAAAAAATGCTGAGCGGTGCCTGTGGCTCAGTGGGTAGGGTGCTGGTCCCATACACCGAGGGCGGGGGGTTCAAACCCAGCCCCGGCCAAACTGCAACAGAAAAATAGCCAGGCATTTTGGCAGGCACCTGTAGTTCCAGCTACTCAGGAGGCTGAGGCAAGAGAATCGCCTAAGTCCAGGAGTTGGAGGTTGCTGTGAGCAGTGTGATGCCACAGCATTCTAACGAGGGCCATAAAGTGAGACTCTGTCTCTACAAAAAATTAAAAAAGAAAGAAAGAAAGAAAAATGCCACTGAACTGTATGCCCAGTTAATTTTTTTTCTCTCTTTTTTCTTTTTTATAAAGACAGGGTCTCACTCTTACTGAGTCTGGTCTCGAACTCCTGAGCTCAAGCAATCCACCTACCTTGGACTCCCAGAGTGCTAGGATTACAAACATGAGCTACTGTGTCTGGCTGGCCTGGGTAATTTTTTAAAATTATTTTTAGGGATAGGGTCTTGCTATTTTCCTCAGGTTGATCTTGAACTCCTGGCCTCAAGTAATTCTCCTGCCTTGGCCTCTCAAAGTGCTGGCATTACAAGTGTGAGCCATCCCCATGCCCAGCCATCTCTGTACTTTCCTATTCCTTCTGAATGTGTGTATAACTCATAAGTATCAATTTTTTTCTTTTGCACATCTCATTTTAAAACAAGAAGCAATAAAGTCATTCTAAAATAAGAAAAAGAAAAAAAACCCCACTTCCCTAAAATGTCGTGGTGGCCGCTCCTTCTAGGGGCCTCCTCTGCATGCATATCTGAAGAGCACTGGCACAAAGAACACCCTGCTCAGAGTCACCACTCTCCTTGGGCCTTAATGGGGGACCCCAGCCAGGTACAGGGCTGGGCCTAGGGTGAAGCAAGTGAACCACCAAGATATGTCAAAATTTTTGTCAGTGATAGTGCCAGGAGCTGGAGGCAAAAGGTATCCTGCCACTGTTTTTATTTAAATGTTGATTTTGGCTCATCATGGAATTTTCTGGCATTTATTTAGATTTTTGTAAATATCACATTAAAATAATATTTATCTCAACAACTGAATTTCTCATCACTCCCTTATATCCTGTACCCAAAGTAAATTCCTCCCACCCTACATCCTGGCTTTGGCAGGGAGGGTCCCACCCCACATGCCCTGAGGAGCTCATGTTGTTTTCCTGCATCCTCGGAAGCAACATCACTGGATTCTTTTTGTCCTGAAATAGAATTCACATATCCTACAAGTCTCTCATTTAAAGTGTACAACTCGGTGGCATTTAATATATTAACGTGTTAGAGGTGCAACTGTCACCTCTATCTGATGCTAAAACACTTCCATCATCCCAAAAGGAGACTCCATCCCATTAGCAGTCACTCCCCATTCCCCTCCCCCAGCCCCAGGCAGCCTCTGATCTGCTTCCTGTCTCTGTGGATTTGCCTGTTCTGGACATTTCACATCAGTGGAATCACAGACTATGTGGCCTTTTGGGCCTGGCTTCTTTCACTAGGCATAATGTTTTTGAGGTTCATCCACGTTGTAGCTTATGTCACAATTTGTTACAGGTTGAATCATGTTCCCTCAAAAACATATGTTGGCTGGCCAGGCATGGTGGCTCACACCTGTAAATCCTAGCACGCTAGGAGTCTGATGAGGTGGATTGCCCTGAGCTCACAGGTTTGAGACCAGCATGAGCAAGAGCCAGACCTCATCTCTAAAAATAGCCAGGCGCCTGTAGTCCCAGCTATCAGGAGGCTGAGGCAAGAGAATCTCTTGAGCCCAAGAGTTGGAGGTTGCTGTGAGCTATGATGCCATGGCACTCTACCAAGGGTGACAGAGTGAAACTTCGTCTCAAAAAAAAAAGATACATTGGTTGCTTGAGGTCATGAGTTTGTGGGCAGTGTCTGTAGTTCAAAGAGTAGGGCACCAGCCCCATATACCAGAGGTGGCAAGTTCAAACCCTGCCCCAGCCAGAAATTGCAATAAGAACAACAACAAAAAAAAGAGTTTTAGACCAGGCTCAGTGCCAGCCACATACACGGGAACTGGTGGTTTCAAATCCAACCCAGGTCTGCCAAACAACAACTACGAAAAATAGCTGGACATTGTGGAAGGTGCTTGTAGTCTGAGCTGCTTGGGAGGCTGAGCCAAGAGAATCGCCTAAGCCCAAGAGTTTGAGGTTGCTGTGAGCTGTGATGCCATATTACTCTACAAAGGGTGACATAGTGAGACTCTGTCTCCAAAAAAAAAAAAAAAAAAAGAGTTTGAGACCAGCCTGAGAAAAGCAGGACCCCATCTCTACTAAAAATAGATAAACTAGCCAGGCTTGGTGGTATGTGCCTGTAGTCTGAGCTACTTTGGGAGGCTGAGGCAGGAGGATCACTTGAGCCCAGGAGTTTAAGGTTCCTGTGAGCTAGGCTGAGGCCATGGCACTCTAGCCCAACCAACAGAATGAGACTCTGTTACCAAAAAAAAAGAAAAAAAAAATGATGGCATCCTTACCCCTGTACCCTAGAATGTGCCCTGATATGGAGATAGGGTCTTTATAGATGTCATCAACTTAAAATGAAGTCATTAGGGCCTGAAGTCATTCCTGGCATACAGTAAATCCTAATTAGAGGTAGGCCCTAATCCAGTATGACTGGTGACCTTATACAAAAAGGAAATTTGGACACAGAGACACAAACACTCATGCAGGGAGAACACTGTGTAAACCTCAAGGCAGAGACTGGAGAGATGCAGCCACAAACCAAGGAATACTAGAGACTGCCTCCAACCACCAGAAGCCAGGAGAAAAGTTTGAAACAGATTCTCCCTCCTGGCCTTCAGAAGGAATCAACCCTGCTAACACCTTGATCTCAGACTTCTAGTCTCAGAACTGTGAGACAAGACATGTCTGTTGTTTAAGTCATCGAATTGTGGTGCTTTGCAATGATAGCCCAAACAAACTCACATGCTGCTTCTCTCTTTCATCACAGTGGAATTATTATTATTCATGGTACCACTGCACTACATTTTATTTAGACAATCATCTGTCACTACACATTTGGACATTGTTACTACTTTTTGGCTACTGTGAATAGTGTTGTTATAAACACCGGTGTGCAATTTTTTGCATAGATGAAAGTTTCACTTGGTTATATACCTAGGAGCAGAATTACTAGGACATAGGCTAACTTCATGTTTAACTATTTGAGGACCATCAGACTCCTGTCCCCAGGGGCTCCAAAGACATTTGCATATACTATAACTCAAGTGAGACTTTCCTACATCCATTTCCTGCCAGACTGTGGCTCCTTGAGGTCAGGGGTCAGAGGGTAGAGATCAGGAGCCAGATCAGATACCCTCTGCTATCCCTAGACCATGGTACTAACCTCAGGTGATGTGTCCGAGGGGCCCTGAGCTGTGATCTCCTACTACTGACTTGATTAATCCCTGAAACAGGAGAACTTCCTGGCATACAGTAAATCCTCAAAAATCATGGTCCAAAGCTGGGCACACCTATAGTCTCTGCTACTCAGGAGGCTGAGGCAGGAGGATAGCTTGAGCCCAGAAGTTTGAGGCTGCAGTGGACTACGTTTGTGGCTATGAATAGCCACAGCACTTCAGTCTGGATAATGTTTCATTGAAGACCTCATTTCTTTTTCTTTCTTTCTTTTTTTTTTTTTGAGACAGAGCCTCAAGCTGTCCCCTTGGGTAGAGTGCCGTGGCATAGCTCACAGCAAACTCCAACTCCTGGGCTCAAGTGAGTCTCCTGCCTCCGCCTCTCAAGTTGCTGGGACCACAGGCGCCCGCCACAACGCCTGGCTATTTTTTTTCGGTTGCAGCTATCATTGTTGTTTGGCGGGCCCAGGCTGGATTCGAACCCGCCACCTTAGGTGTATGTGGCTGGCGCCTTAGCCACTTGAGCCACAAGCTATGAGCCAAGACCTCATTTCTTAAAAAAAAAAAAAGAAAAGAAAAAAGAAAGAAAGAAAGAAATCTGGGTCCAGTCTGACAGGAAATGGAACCTGGTGCTGAAACACCAGTTCCCCAGGCTGCAAAACCTCAGAAGATCCCAGAGCTGACATGTCCTAGAGCCCCAGCTCAGCCTCTCACTTCCTTACTACCTATTTTCTTTTTAAACAATCAATGAAAATTAAGATGTAGGTTGGGCATATGGCTCATTCCTGTAATCCTAGCACTCTGGGAGGCCCAGGTGGGTGGATTCCCTGAGCTCAGGAGTTAGAGACTGGCCTGAGCTAAAGTGACACCTCGTCTCTAAAAATAACCAGGTGTTGTGGTGGGCTCCTGTGGTCTGAGCTGCTTGGGAGGCTGAGGCAAGGGGATCACTTGAGCCCAAGAGTTTGAGGTTTCTGTGAGCTATGATGCCACAGCACTCTACTGGGGTGGCAAAGTGAGACTCTATCTCCAAAAAAAAAAAAAAAAAAAAAACCAGAAAGAAAGAAAGAAAGAAAATTAAGATGTAGACACATGTTATAAGGAAATGGAGAGTGATCAAAATGATTTGTCTTTAGAGAGGTCTTTTTTTTTCCTAGGGGGCCTATTCATTGTTTTATGTTTTAAGGAAGCTGGGGATCCAGGTGGGTTGGTGTAGGGGGGTCTGGGGTAAAGGGAAAGGAGCGACCCGTCCCCAACTACCATTCCGCTGGGCACTGACCTGGATCTCCCGGGCGTGGTACAGAACCACGAGGCCCAGTAGGATGACAGTGGAGAGGCTGATGAGGCATTTGAGTGCAAATGAGTACAGAGACTCCTAGGCAGAGAAAGATAGGAGATAGCTAGATCTACAATGCTGGAGAAGGTGGGGGCCCTCCTGTCCCCCTACTAGTGCTTCCAGGCACGAGAACCAGTCAGACAGGGCTCTCCCTGTGGCTTTCCCACAATGTCCCAACTTCCCGCAAGGTTCTCAGTCCCGGGGGCCTTGTGTATGAAAGAGCTTCCTCATCAAGGATGGGCCCACAAAAGGACCCTACTCAGGAGATAATGTTCCTGTCCTTACTCCGTAAGGGGCAGATGGCAAGATGGGCCCCACCCATGCATCACAGTTTATAAGGCCTGGAGTGACACAGGCATAGTTCTTTACAGTTTATATGGTATAGAACTTCATAGTTTATAAGGCCCAGTCCTACTCACTTTGGGACAGCACTTTGAATTTTATAAGGCCTGGCCTCAATTGGGCTCAGTACTTTATAGTTCATAGGCCCTGATGTCCCTCCATCCTCACATACACTTGGTGGCACAAGGGACCGCAGCCAGGCTTGTAACCTGCACCTGACCACTCTTGAAAGGGAGGAAGCTCTTTCCCAGGCCTGCCTTGGGGTGGGAGGGGCAGCCCTCTCCCCACAAGAAGCTAGGGTGTGGCACCCAGATGCTGGAACCTTCTCTATACCTGTACAGGATCCCCACCACCAGAGACTCCCTATACCCTCCCACTTCCGCACCTCCAGGGCCTCCCCACACACATCCCCTTTGTCTCTCTTAGGGAAACCAGGTAAGCCCAGCAGGGCCTCCTAGGGGTGTAGGGAGCCATGCCTACCTTGGTATACACACCCCAGGATAGCTCTGTCTCTGTCACCATGACGACAATGCCGAACATGCCGAAGATGAGGGCATAGTCACTGAGGCGCTTCCGCTTCTCAAAGAGTGCCCGCCGGTGGCCCAGGCGGTGGCCCACATTCGGGGGCTTTCCTGAGCCCCTCTGCCCACCCTCCTCATCCTCCTCATCCTCCTCATCATCATCCTGGTCCTGGGGCTGCCCCCGGGGGCTGCCGGGTGAGGACCGGGCCGGCTCACTCTTAGCCACCACCACCTGGAGTCCTGGACTATGTGGAGGCCGAGGGGAGCAGCCAGCTTCGGGGTCCGGAGGGTCATGGCTCAGGGCACCTGGCCCGCTGACCAGTGGCCGCCCCACACTGCCGTTGTGGCTGTGGCTATTCATGACTACCTGGGTGCAGGGGTTGGGCTCGCTGCAGGCCACCCGGGGCCCAGCATGGCTCAGTGGCTGGGATCCTGTGCTGACCTGCAAGGGCACAGAAGGACATGGTCACAGCAGGGTCTGGCCAACTGACCAGAGGGGCAGGGACCATCACAACCACCCCAGAACATTTTAAGGCTTAGCTACCTTAGGCAGTAAACTCAGAGTGCTAGCATGTGGATTTGCCATCTCAGAAACATCCAAGTCAGCCTGTATCCCTTCCCCAGCTCTGAGCTCTCTCTATAGCTCCCTTGTGCCATCCCATTCAAACACCAGACTCTTCAATACAGCCAAGAAGCCCTTGTGGTCTAGTTCCCACCAACCTCATCCTTCTCACTCTCCCCCAGACTCTCTCCCTCCAGCCACATGCCTCCCCCATAACAAGATGCCAACAAGCTTCATCTTGCCTCAGGGCTTTTGCACAGTCTGTGCTCTCTTCCTGGAGCACCCTCCTAGTAGCCTTTTGCCTGCTGACTTCTGTGTCTCCGAATACCTAGCACAATACCTAATACACAGCTGACACTCAGTAAACACCTGCTGACCAGGCACAGTGACTCATGCCTATAATCCCAGCACTTGGGGAGGCTGAGGCAAGAGGATCACTTGAACCCAGCAGTTTGACACCAGCTGAGCAACATCGCAAGACCTTGTCTCTATAAATAAAAATAAATAAATAAAAATTAGCTAGGCATAGTGGCACCTATGTTCCAACTACTTGGGAGGCTGAGGTGGGAGGATCATTTGAGCCCAGGAGTTCAAGGTTGCAGTGAACTATGATTGCACCACTGCATTCCAGCCTGGGTGACAGAATAAAACACTGTCTCTAAAAACAAAAACAAGGCTCGGCGCCTATGGCTCAAGTGGCTAAGGCACCAGCCACATACACCTAAGGTGGTGGGTTCGAATCCAGCCTGGGCCCGCCAAACAACAACGATGGCTGCAACCGAAAAATAGCCGGGCGTTGTGGCGGGCGCCTGTAGTCCCAGCTACTTGGGAGGCTGAGGCAGGAGACTAGCTTGAGCCCAGGAGTTGGAGGTTGCTGTGAGCTGTGATGCCACAGCACTCTACTCAGGGGGACAGCTTGAGGCTCTGTCTCAAAAAAATAAAAACAAAAACAAAACACTCACTGAATGCCATGTGATGGAATCTCCCAGCAAACTTGGCTGTGAAGACAGATTAAAAGTACTCCAACCTGGGCTCACCTTCTTCCAACCTTCAGGCTCTTAGATGAGTTAACCTCTCCTCACTGAGACTTCCATGTAAGCAGGCTCAAAGTGTGGCCTATGAGACATTAGGGGCTATGGCTGGGTGTGGCTACAAAAATCCTAAGGCTCCCTCCTCCTGAGCAGATTCCAGGACCAATGTGGCTATCTGGGGTTTAACACTAAGACCCTAGAATTGATTCCACTGGTTCTTGTATGACATGTGTGGCCCAGCCCTGTTAGCTCAGACCAGCCTGTTTTTCTGCCAGACTAGATCACAGGGTAACATCCCATGGCACCATGTATGAGAGCAGGGATCGTGATGGTGGGCCAGGGCACTAATGAAGCTGTCTGGAGACTCTGGAGCTGACTTGCCAGATCTTCTCCTGCCCAGCCCAGTCTACTATCTCAGACCCTCAAATGTACCCCTTGCTACCATCCTAGCCAACATTTACTGAGCATCCATTGTGTACCAAGCTCTATTCTTCAAACAAACATTCTCTTTAATCCTCACAATACTGGGTAGCGCCTGTGGCTCAAAGGAGTAGGGAGCCGGCCCCATATGCCGGAGGTGGTGGGTTCAAACTCAGCCCCGGCCAAAAACTGCAAAAAAAAAAAAAAAAAATCCTCACAATACTAAGAAGGGAGTTCTAGGATTTGGACAGATTTACAGATGAGGAAATTGAGGCACAGTGCTTGAAATAACCTGCTCAAGGTCATACTATCTCATTATAGAGCTGATTCTGGATCAGTATTCTTCCAAAAAGCCAAGCAGGAGTGGGTGGTGTGCCAAGCATTGTCCTCTTAGAAAAGGCTAGACCAGCATGCTTTCAGGGGCCGCCCTGGGAGAAGAGGGTGGGTGGTGGCTGTGTGCACAGGCAGGATACTTCCCTGGGGGTGACAGACGTGAGGACGGGTATCTTATGACATACCAAGATGAGCCACACTGCTGGGTGGGACACAGGTGAGCTTGGTCACTACTTACATTGCACAGCCACCTGTATGCCCTTGTCTAGTGCCCCTACACTGTGTCTGTCCCCTCACCATATGTCTCTAGATGCTAATGTCAGCACACAAATGCAAGAATCATTTCTTCTGAGTCCAGGTGACCTCAAGTCTTAGAACCTGTCCCTCCCTTCCCCACTCCTTTGCATCACATTGCTCAGGCTGTGGTCTCCTGCAACCAAGCACTTCATAGTTTATAGGCCTGGCTTCCTCTGTGCCCCACATTTCATGGCTTTTAAGGCTGACCTTGATCCTGATGTTTCTCCAGCCTTATAAGTACTTAGATGGGCACTTTCCACTCAGGCTTAAACCCCTGCCCACTACCTAAAGGGCCAGGTGGGCTCCTGATGCTGCCCTCACCTGGAGATGACCAGGACACCCCAGGCCCCTTCCACAATCCACCCTGAAGGCACAGAAGGTCCCTGCCTGGGGCTGAGGGACATGGCAGGAGAAAGGAGCAGCCTGGAAGCCCAGACCCAGAAGGGGTGGGGGCCTCAGAGGGCTGCTACAAACGACCTTCCGAAATGCACCGATGAAGATGCAATTTGGGGATGTGACTCAGCCTCCCGACGCACGGGCCAAATTCAGCCGTGTGTCTGCCATGTTCTTCCTTGCCTGGCAGCTGCGTCCTAAGGTGCCCTGGGCAGGGAGGCGAGGGAGGAGGGGACAGACAGCAGGTGGCTTCCACGAGGGCAGAGTAGTATAGGGCTTTCCTGGTGCCCACCATGTTCATGTACACTGGGCTGTCATTGTGTTTTGAGTCCTTGCCTAGACCGATCACATTTAATCCCTACTGTGACCCAGTGTGACCAATGTTCCCATTTTACAGACAACAGACAAAGCTCAGGGGTTCAGGACCTTGCCCAAGGTCACACAGTCACAAAGGGCAGAATCTGAATTAGTGCTGTCCAGGGGCAGCAGACAAAGGATCTGCCATTTGGAGGGAGAACCAGGTTGGCTGTGCACCGAGGGGCTACCAAGATTGCAGCATAAAGTGGTGAGCGCCTGACACCTCCTCTTTACCAGGACACTTTCCCCTCCTCCACTGCAACCTGGGCCTCATCTTGGAGTCCCTAGGACCCTCAGGGATTCCAGGGATTCCCAGAGATCCTAGCCAAGATTTGGATGTCAATGAAAGGGTACGTTTTTTCTGTACAAAGGCCCCAGATTTGCTAAGGACTTCCCCCAAGAGGTTAAGAACAATACCCTGTGGGTTGCATTTGGATTTGAATCCCTGGAATTGCCTTTACTGTGTCTAGGCACAGAGAACTCTGTTCCCTGAAGGCTGAGGTGGAGGATGAGTGGAGACCCCTTTCCATGTCATCCTAGGGGACAGCCATTTCTGTAGGCGTGTACCCAGTGCACGAGGGTACACTCAGGAGGACGCTTGGGAAGAGGATGGGCAGAGGGAAGGTGGCTGGCTGCTCTTAGCTTCCCCACTGAAGAGAATGTGGGAAGAGGAAGAAACCTGGCTAGGACCCCAAGAGCTCTCAAAGGAGCTGCCCCAAACTGGCCCCCAGGTACCCCTCACAGAGAGTGAAGTCACTGCCCCCTCCTTAGCTGCCTCCCTATAAAGGGTCCTTGTGGTGCTCACCAACAGGTTTGGTGGCCAGAACAGAGTGAGACCTTGCAGTTTGAAGAGCTTGGTGCTGCCTGTTTCCACTCTTCCAAACCGGACCAGAAGGTGCCCCCAGCCCTTCAGTCACCAAGGCAGAGTGACCCCACCATAACTCCTTGTGGGGCAAGATGCCTTCCACACCACTTCCAGGATTCACAGCCAGAACACCACACGGCAGAAACTTCCAGGACATGTGGCCTGTTGTGGGCTCCCAACTGGGGCATCCAGAAGCTGGGTGTCCCTGTGGAGGGTCCCTGGAGGATCCTTCCCCAGTATTCTTGCAGTCCTAGCTCTGCAGGGCAGACAGACTGTGCTTGTCCTCCGCTTCCTGGGCAGTCCAGGAGTGAGTGCAGCAAGGCACTGGCCCACCTGATCTCCTCATCACCACCTGCTAGGAGCCTGCCAGCAGCCAGCAGGGTGCAATTAGCCTGCCCTGCCCTCTGAGGCTGCCTACCTCAGCACCCTCCACACAGAAGCATTTCCACCAGCATCTCTGGCTTAGCCCCCAGCCTTGGGCACTTCCATCTGCTGCTCAGTCCTCCAGAATAGGAGAGACAGTGCCCTGAGCTAACTACCCAGATCTCTGTCCAGGCAGAACTGTGACCCAGCTCCCTGACCCCTTCCCGAGTGCCCCCACCCCTGGATCCAGGGGCCAGTGGTTAAGATCTCTACCCTCCCATTCACAAGTCATCGCAGGTCACTGCCCACCCACCTCCAACTGTATCTGCGGAGTTTGGAGACTCACTGCTCTCCCTCCCCTCAGAGTGAACCTAGTAACCTCCCCCTCCAGGATGGGGTCCGAATCTTCACTCACTCGGGCAATGCACACGCACATACTCGTGCCTCCTCCCCGTGTCCCTCGGGCTCCGGACCCCATGGAGACCTCTCCTCCTGGCTCTAAGCTCAAAGCACGTCCTCCACCCCCTATGCCCCAAACCACGTCTCCCTCTGGGACGTGCCTCCCTCATGGGCGCCCCGGGCTGTAGACCTTGGAGCCTCCCGCACCCTCGGCAGATCCCACCCAGTACCTGTAAGGCTCGGCCTCGAGGGGCAGACAAGGCTGGAGGAGAGAGAGTCCGGCACGGCCGTGGACCCCCGGGTGGGAG